GATATCTTATCTTAGGTTGCGTAGTCAGTATCATCCCTATCCAAGGCTATATTTACCTACCAGAACCGATCCAAGGCTATTTACCTACCAGACAACTTACCTGGAATTGTGTAGTAGATGCTATGACCCTGGGTAACTTACCTTGAATTATGTCGTGGATATTGTAGCCTTGGATTACTTACCTTGAATTATGTCGTGGATATTGTAGCCTTGGATTACTTACCTTGAATTATGTCTTGGATATTATGGCTCAGGGTTATTTGCCTTGAATTATGTCAGCTACAGCTGATGAAATGGAGCGTTGTATACGGGTGCAGATAAGCTTCACAATCCACCATTGACACCCTGATTTTTCCCGATTTGCTCCGCACCCCCCCTCTCCCCCCCCCCCCCCCCCCCCCGGCCGATAAAAAAATATCCTGCCTCCGCCACTGTACTAGGTAATTTACCCTAAAAAAATAACCTGTGTAAATAGGATATTAAGAACAAAACGTCGTATATACTCAGAACAGGCTTATAGTTTGTGAACAGAACGTCGTATATCACATACGCTGCCATTTCACAAGACAAAATGTCGTATATAGCCACAGCACATAAACCCCTAAAATTATCCCAAAAATAACTTTCCCATATTAAATTTTCCACAATTTAGTTCATAAATTAGAAATATAATCACATTCAATAAAAAATCCGGGACCGCAGACAGTTTTTTGTTTCCCCTGATAACTTAATAAAATCCGATATACGAGGTTTTGATCGCCCACCGACGATATAAACTATTATTGTGACATTTATTCAAATGGCAAGCCCATAATCAACTCTCTAGACTATGGTTTGGCAGTGATACTGAATGGATTAAAATTTAAAACACTTACCATTTAATAATTTATCTGTTAAATGGATAAATGAAACTCAGCTTTTTATGTAAATCTTAAAAATATATCTTTGATAATGAATGGGACTTGACAATTCTTGAGTTTAGTCCAGTAGAGTTAAGATAAAAGTATGTTTATTCTGATATAATGAAGTTAATGAGCTGATTTTGAATCACAGGATTATAAAGTATGTAATAATTTATATAATAATTTTGTGTAATTGATCTTCAAATAAGTTCAATTATCAGTTATGATCACCTAGGATTATTAGACATAAAATGTTAATAACAAGTTACTTTATCATAATATCTGGTGTATATTATATATGAAGTGCAGGTATAATGTGTGATATACAGGACGTCAATAGACAGGAGGTTGTTTTTGTCGAATAGATCAGTAGGTACATGATATAGTCTATGTTAGTAATTGGATTGAATATTGTATCAGATATAGGTAATACGAGGAACAGACAGGTTGATCTCTTTAGATGGTGGGATTAACAGGTTGACAGCAGAGTTTGTTTTAAAACGTGGACCCTTTTGAGTTTTTTTGGCAATTTGACAAGGTGTGTGTACAGTATATAAACTTTAATCCTTATTTTGACGACATTGTTTGAAACAAGGAAAATGTTTAAATACTTTATAGTGAATTATTTTGTGACTGTGAATCTAGTAGCAGTATTATAAGAGTTTTGGTATAATATGACTTTATGTAATAATAATTAGCAGCAACATGTCTACTCAAGTTGGATATTTAGATCTACGAAAGACTTATGATAATGATCCACCTGTGTATAAAACTAACCTGTTTGAAAAGGTACGTCAGATATGACATTTCCGAAGCAGTGCAAACACATGCTATTATTAGATATTTTAAATCCCTCATTGTCTTTTTAGGGAATTCAAATTCCTTGCCAAATACAATATTGTTATAGTTCAATCTCTAAGGAATATCAGACCAAAAATGGTCTAATTCCGTTCAGTATTTACAGAGATATGAGTGACTGAAAATTTCTCAAAGTTCATCATCACGATTTCAATAGGTTATGGTCAAAATGACCATAAACTAAAATGTAAAAAATATTCACGTTGGTTAAAATGACCCCAAATTTGTCAAATTTTATGTCAGTATTTCTATCACTAGATTCAGTATAAATAACAAATATTTTTAAAACTGGTTTATTTGGCCCACCTTTGTATTCAGATGACAAAGTTAAACTGACCAGGAATATATTACTAGGAAATATCTAGTGCTTTACTTACAACCTCTATGCCAGGTTAGTGCTAAAAAGTAGGACGTTCATACTCCATTTCATTTCACAACCACAATGAACAAATTATTTAGGAGCCACGGTGGCTCAGTGGGTAGACGAATCCCGGTGTTGGTCGGAAAAGTTCTTCTGGTGCATTTCCCCCTTGTCTGTAGCACAGGATGGAGTAAGCGGCAAGGACAGGGTCCCGTCTACACATTAGTGTGCACGTAAATGAACCCTCGACAGTTGGAATTCTAAATTTTCCTTTTAGCAGACTGTATGGCATAAGCCTGTCTTCATTAGCCCAGGTGATACAGATAAGCAGGATGTTAAACCCCATTTCATTTAATTTTTGCAATGCATATTTAGAAATTATAACCTACTATCCTGTAGATTAAAACCAATTAATCTGATAGATTTATCTACACGACCCATTGTTTTATGAATTCATAGCAGAAAATCACTCAATTTATGCTTTAAAAAAACATCAACAATGTTTTATTCAAACAAAAGATTGCTTTATATCACAGCTATTATATTACATAGCTATCATTGTATCCAATGGTTACATATATCTACATAATATTATATATCAATTGATAACTTATATTATACTTAAAGTTCATATTACTCATTATCTAAAGCCATTTTGTATTCCTGAGGTAATTTGGGGTTTAGCTCAAGACAATGTAGGGATATATGAGTGCCAAAATTTTAAGATTGAAAAGTGTTTTGGATGACAATAATAATCATAAAACACATAACTACCTGGGGCCACTTTCTGGACTGTTTAAAAATAAGATATTTCAACGATCAAATAAAAGGACTGTTTTTTTTTAAATATTGTAGTTTTAAGTTTGTGAATGAAACCCAAGTACATATCAAAAACACAAATACTTCAAGGGAAAAGTTTTGTTGACAATTTGCAAATTTTAACAATATATTACCATGGTTAAACAATGAATGGACAAGTTACTTAGTCTAGTAACATTTAAGTAATGCACACATTAAGATAGTAATGTCAGTCTCAGTGGTTATTTAATGTTTTGTGGGCTTGTTATTAGGCAATTTGAATTTTTTTTTGTTTTATTGGTCATTACAGAAATCATTCTTTCAGGATTAAGGGCATTGAGTAGTCTAATACACGCACTAACTTATCAACACCAATCTTATTAAGACATTTGAAATTAGGTAATAATAAGACTATAGAGAGTATAAACTGATATCTTTAAAAGAAAAAAACTATTTATAGCAAACAAGGTTTCCCCCGAGCTAGATCAGTTCTTGAATAAATTAAGACGTATACACCGTTCATGTCATCCGCTGTAAACAATCATGGCCGTGTCCAGCAGCAGTTTCACACTGGATCATGCACGTCTATCTAGATATGATGTCAGAAGGAATTCCCTCTAATTATCCAGGTCTACCATCTATCACGATTGGAACATGGCTGAATTTCATATTTTGATGATCGGAGGTTACCATTTTTGAATGTATAAAATGAATTTTAGTGCACTGAAGTAGATATTTACTTTTTATGTCCGAATTGATGTATTTTAAAACTTGTTGTGGACGTATTCAAAGAATTAACCCCAAATCACATAATCTTGTTTGAAGGGAAATAATGAACAACAATTTTAAAATACTTTGAGTTGATATTTTATAACGTTTTTGATGTCGAAATATAGCTTATAACCTCTACTTTCCATCTACTGGTGTAATTATCGATATTTCCATGGATACCAGACAAACCACAGCCTATAGCTAAAAATTGTCCAGTAGCTTTTTTGGACTTGCAATTAGCATTGTTCATGCCAAATTTAAAGAAAATCCATACAGACATAACTGAGAAAATTTGACTTTTATTGTCATTAATATGTAGTTTACCACCTAAAATAGCAAAAAATGTCATATCTTATCAACAAAAATTATAGTGCCAGAAAAGGTGCATTTTAGACTGCTCAGTGCCCTTAAATAATGATTGTGGGAACATATTGTTAAAAGCCCTATTACTTAGTTACCATGGCTGCATACATATATAGAGGTTGATTTTTTTTTTTTAAATCCTAAATTAGCACTAACCAATGTTTATTCCGCATCAGTACATTAGGGCATTCCCCATAATCACATTTCATCAGTTCAGATCAACTATTAATCATTGTGCATCATACAAAATGCCCACTCAATTTACTTTAAACCATAATCTGAACACTAAGTACAAGTTCATCTATTTTTCAAAAATTCAGGAAATACAACAAGAATTATTTCAGTATTAGTTTCAGTGTTTATATTCCAATGTAGTGGATAGACCTCGTTGCCTATACAACTGTTACAGAATCTTTTAACACTTCTGGACCAGGTCCTTGGGAATTGCCTAAGACTAATGATTTTACCTTTAAAAAAAATAAGAATTTGGTTTTGTACAAAGATATTTTATTTGTTTCCGTTGTTTTTTTTTATATATATAAAAAAACTAAACTATTTAACATGCAATACCAATCAAAGTAATAATACTTTGTTGGGATATAAGATATACTATATTATTAGGTGCATCAGATCATGCATGTTCTGTCAAGAAAAACTGTTCTATAAACCAGATTAATACATGTTAGTGGCTAGAATTATGTCTTTCTCTGAGTGAATCTTGCAGAAAATGGTCTTTGCAGTGATTTTCCATTTTGATACCTGATTTCTATTTCAAGGGACCAGTATGATGTATTCCAGTTTCCACAGAAAATCATCACCCTTTTCATTCATTCATTTCAACTTCTAATTATTCCGGAGTAAATCTGTAGCTTTGGTAGTGTTAAAGTGATTTACAAGTGTTTAATAAATTACTCTATTAGTTAATGAATATGTATATTGAATTTCAGGAGGAAATAGAATCTCTAAGACAAGCAAAATTAAACCTTCAGGTGCCTTATGAATTACAGTGATTTTAATTGATACTAACAATAATAATCTAGATTTATAACCTTCAATTTTTTTTTATCAATTTTTTTATTAAACATACATTATGCAACAGCTAATTCTGCCAGTTGCAGGTCTTTCTTTAGGCCTGAAATGTTATCTAAATTATTAATTAGACATTAACTTATCCAGACCATAATCAACTCTCGATGGCATTGCTAGCCTGCAATATTTACTGGATTAGAACCCTGTCTGCTGCTTTTGATTAAATCAAAAAATGGATGATCAATACTATGTTTTTTATTGTACAGACTTTAGTAATGATGATCAAGACTAGACCCCAAATTTAATTGCTAAATACTTGGTTCCGGGTGGATCAATTTGACTGAAATTTTCAGCAAATTCCCTTTACATTATCTAGCTTTTAACTATTATAGTGAGAACTACCAGCTCTTTATCTAATCTCCCATAATGTATCTTTAACATTTAAGATATATTTGACACATTGGATCCTTTCTAGAGAGACAAAAGAGTGGGGGTTCCTTTAGGAAATGAATGTGATATGACTGGCCAAAAGTGAAATTGGCTAGCCGAAAAATCATCCTTTAAAAACTGTCAAACTGAATGTCACCCAAGTCAATGAATCTCCTATAAGTACTTGGTTGAAGTATTATAGATTTAAATTAGCATTGTTCGGAAACTTTTAAACAGAGGTCGAGGAAAGTGTCTTTATCTAATTAATGTGATCCATCGGACTCAAAAAAACCAAAAAAAGTGGCACTATGTATCATTTAGAAGTATTGTGTAAATTGAGTTTTTGAGAATTTTATGATATTTTCATAATTTATATCTTTGGGGTTTTTCTAATCCTTACTCTAATTTTTTGTTTGAATTTCTAAAAGAATTACAAATTTTGATTAATTTTAATTTTGCTTATTTTGTTTAAATAATTAGTCAGATATTATTTTGTTTCAATAATTTAATCAGATTTTATTTTGTTTCAATAATTTAGTCAGATATTATTTTGTTCAAAATTTAGTATTTTGGATTATTTTTTATTTTATATCATATCTTATAAACTCTCTAATCTAGTCAGATGTAAAACCCACGAAATTCCTCTTTAGAACCTCTTTTAATAAGATTTTTTTTACATTATTTGTGTATATTTTCTTTTTTGTGTGTTTTGCTCTTTCTGGAATATAATTAAGAGTAGCAGATCATTTTGGTTATATGTTGATAGTATATTTGTCTTTCATATTTGTAAAGCTTTTAGTCTTTTATTTAAAAAATGAATATAGAACCTCACAGGATTATTTTATATAAACATTTTAAAATCTTGAGGGCATTGAAATTAGATTTTATTTTGAAAATTTTTCAGAAAGATTTATCAGATATAGATCATGGAAGACGTTTTGAATTAGATTTATCTGAAAGCAGCCAATCCAGACAAAGTTCAAGACAGGTAGGTTGATACCCGATCGAAAGACATTTTGCAGCATTTAAAAAAAATAAATAAATAAAGCCATCATTTCTGTGACAATGAAGTGTCATTATAATTTTTTTCTTAATTTTTGATCAGTATGTTTTTTTTTTTATTATTTCAATAAGCATCAGGGACATAAAAAAGGAAAATATAACAATCAGCTACCAGTTATAATTGAGGTACATTGTATGTTGTATGGTTGTAAGAGTAGAAAACCCAATTTTATCCTCTAGAAAATTCTATGTCAAATTCTGAGTGAAATAATCATTATATTGAAAAGGGTAACTTTCTAACTAGGTCTGGGCTTTCCACACACAAGAGATGGTTTTGTGGTTCAGGAACTATGATTTTGGCATTGGGTCAAAGATCAAGCCAAGAATAATGCTCTATCCTTGCTTGTTATTCACCAACATTGTATTCATTTATCATTATTTCATATCTTCTGAATTTATTTACAAACTTTTATTTAAGAGGAATTCATCTATCGATCTATATGTTTTTTTCCTGTTTCATGACAGTTGTATTTCATAAGCCTCTGACATATTTATCGTCTGTATCATTCAAAGAAATCAAACTTGAACTACAAAAATATAATGGTCATAATTTAGGCCTATATTATACGCAAACCATCCCCATTTTTTCTTTGAAATTAAATCCCAGTTTGAATGAAGTAACTCATGTTAACAAATTCTAGCTTTTAATAATAACCATATTATGGTTGATATTTGAATAGAGATCATGATTAATACTTAGTCCAATAATCTATTTATGAAAGATGTTAGGAATTATTAATATTATAATAATGATAAACAAGTAATATTGTGTGAAATACTATAGTATTATTGATTATCATTAATTACAACATCTCTGTATAATAGTTACTGATAAGCAATTCTATACTATAAAGATAAGAAAATCAATCTAAAGATCCCTGATTAAAATTTTGGTTTAAAGAATCCTGTCGTGCAATCTTGTTTGTTACAAATTGGATATTAGGTATGAGATGTAACTGTGCACAAGCAACTTTTAGGACTGGGTATCATTCGTTAGTTGGGTGGGGGTTAATGTCTGCTTCCACCAAGGGGGATATTACAGACAAAATTTCTTAAGAAACTTACCAGAAGAGCCAGTTATGAGTTAGAGGCAAGTGAAGCATAGGGAGGCAACTGGAGAAAGAAAATGTTCTCCGCATCCCATGCCTTTAGAGATGCAGTGTCTGATGTGACCTCCCAGTAACATTCTGATTCCAATCATTACTCCAGAGAACAATGTGATAAATAAAGTAACCTATATCATACATTTTCAAGTAAAATGATTCTGATCAACAAAGCACAATTTAAAGAAAATAAAATCCCATCCCATCATTTGAGTTGTGTTGACTGAGTTGCAGAATAAATTAATGTGGTAAAAATATGAAATACAAAAGTTGCAAGGAATGTGAAGAAATATCCCTGAGGTGTATTAGCGTTTTTTTGAGTGCTGTCATTTGAAAATGTGAATATGAGTGACTTTTATCATTGATTTCACCCCTCCTATATCCTCGTATTAGTTTTCACAGGTTTATTTCTATCATTTGTATGATTCCATTATGAGATCATGTGATGAAAGTTATCAAGCTCTCTGTATCTTAGCAACATATTACAAATGAGCCTTTTAAAGAGCTTTAAATAAGATCTTTTGCAAACATTGTCTTGGAGCAAGATAAGGAACTGTGACATATAGTCCTGCTATAAAATAGAATGTCCTCTGTATTAATAAGACATTAATCTGCTTTTTTGTTGCAAGTGAATTTGTCATAATCGAGATTATTAGATTTTCTCAAAATGATACGGAGAGTTAAAGTAAGATTAGGAGTCATTTGTTTCAATGTTCAGACTTGTTTGATAATTGATATAATTTGTAAAAAAGGGAAAGTTCAGTGGTTATTGTAATCTATAATTTTCAAAAAGATTTTAGACACCTTAGAAATGAATAAAGTTTAATATTTATCAGGTGGCCTACAGTATTATTTATAAATTAATAGTCCAGAGTAAAATATGACAAGGATAAAACATGAAGAATCAGGTACCGGGTATATATTTATTTTACTCAAAATTATTTGTGTTGTGTATTAATCATAAAATAATGCAAACTTTTTTTTCATTTAATTTAGGATAGTCGTTCTGGTAGTAGAAGTAGTGCTTCTTCAAGCAAACAGAAGGTAAGTTAAAATATTTAGTTAAAATAGGGAAGCCACGATGGCTCAGTGAGTAAGATATTACTTGCTAACCTGGAGGTCCATGTTCGTTCAAGTTGTTGACCCCAAAAATTCATCAGGATTTTCTGGTGTTTTTTCCTCTTGTCAGTATGGCATGATGGAGGGTCTGGTAAAGAACAACGTATAGGTCGTTCGAATGGGATGGAAAACCTAGATCCCATGGTGTAAATTTAAAAGAACCCTTGACAGATGGAATTTCGATGTAAGAGTCGGCTGGCTGTATTGCATTGAGTTTAATACTTGATTATCTTTATAAGATGAATTGATTCAAATTTTGTACATTTATTCTTCAAGTTCACCTTCATTCAGTCAAAATTTTTGTTATTTTATTAGAATTCCTTTATAACAAATATTGTGTTTATTTTCAAATTCGGGAATTTATGAAGTAGAAATGTTTGTTTATTTATTAACATTGTTTTATGTATATATGGCGGGACTTTGTGAAGTAGAATTCATAGTTTCTCAGAGGGGTGAGCTGAAAGTCTTGCTGGGTGGATATGTGTATAGAATAAATAATGAGCATGGTGAATGTATTCATTGAGAGTGTGTAAAGGCAACCTGCAGTGGAAAATGTACCACAATGGATATATATGTTTCAAACCACAACTACCACCCAGAAAATGAAGACCAAATCAAATTTAAAAGTAGCCTCAGAGAACGTTCATGAGAAGAAACGAAACCTGTGCAATTAATTTACACCGAAGAACTTGCTCAAATGCTGTTAAAATTTAGGCCTAACTTACCTTCTTTAGGACAATAAAAAAAAAGGTGAAGAAGTTAGGACTTGGATAAGGAGGCTAGCAGGTTTAGCATTATTACCATATTTTATACAATTTCTATATAAATTAATTTTTCATTCGTTTTTTCTGTTTGTCTTTTATACTTGCTATTATACCCATTTTTAAATGGCCATGTATTTAGCATGTACCTGTATCATTCAATTTTATGTTATTTTTTTTTGTTTTTGTAGAACAAGGGAAAGTCCAAAGGTATGTCATTAAGATGATAATTTTTAGATTTTTATTAGCATTTGTTTTGCAAATACTTACATTAATCATATATCATCTAATATACAAAATTTGAAAATTATGTCTGATTTGTTTCAAAATGGATTTATTTATTTATTAAATGTATTTATTAATAGTTGGAAAAGAAGCATCAGATTTATCTACTACAAGTGATGGAGATAATACTGCAGACAATAAGAGATCAAAATCCACCTTGGAAACGGTTAGGGAAGCAGACAACTTTGAGAATTCTTGGAATTTATTGGATGAAGAATCATGGGTGAGTAATAACCAGAAATCTTGATCAATCTAGTGATAAATCATATTACCTACAGTTATTATGAATTTGTTTATTGAAATATTGGAAAATGTTCAAATTTTTTAATAAACAATAAAGAATGTATTTGATTTATGTTTTTTAGGGCAGTGTTCCTGCGTCTGATGTACCTGGGAGATATAATCAATACAGGAAACTGGTGAGTTAGACGTTATTAATTTATCATATTAATGCATTATTTAAGTGGCCTTAGTCTACACTTTTATATGCCATGTGGGATACCTTTGCACTTTTTTTAAAAATTTAAATTGTATTTACAGAGCCAAAATCATATTAAAGATCTTGAAGATAAATTACAGTTAAATTTGGCTAGGATGCATCGTAAAGTTCAGACTCTAAAAACCCAGTTCCAAGAACATAAATCTAAATGGGATGCCGTAAGTTATATTAGTAATATTTGATTTTAGATTATCAGCTTACCTCTTGATTTCTTCATAAAACATGTCTACACCTGTAACCCCCCCCCCCCCCCACCTATTATTCCAGGAACTAATTAACAGGTTATATGAGGTATGATAAACCTGCTGTTTGCAAGTGGAGCAGCTGGTACCCCTTTTTTACTGTAGATTATTTACCTGTGCAGTTGTTAAATTCTTCCATATTGTAATCAATTATATTTGTATTTTCATTTTAGGAAAGACAAATTCTCATGGACCAAGTCCAGCAGGCACAATATTTACAGACAGATGCAGAGAAGGAAGCTGATTCTACAATAACTCAATTAGAAAACTTCATAACAGAACAAGAAAGATTGGTAAAATCATTCAAACTTAAAGTAGCTAAGTCTCTAACTCAATATCATCCAAAATCTTCAACATTGAAAACACGAATTATTTGTCAATTTAGAACAACATTGATGCTGTGATCTTACCGGAAAAAGATGGGCTTCTGATATCCAATATTTAAGACAAAATAAATATTTTACCATTGGTACACGAATCGTGTACCATGATGCGTTTCAGCCCCAGTTTTAGCAAGAGACTCGAGGATTGAGGCTAGACATATTGCACCAAACCAAACGGCGTATGTAGACTGGAATAACCAGATGCTAGGAATTTGCATTCGATTGAGACTGCTGGCTAATTTCACGGAACATTACTGATTTGAAATAAGAGTAAAAACGGAAACGATTGAATGTAAATCAGTTTATATACATTCATATTACAGTATTATATGAGTTGCAACCCACTTGTGTCAATTTCTAGGTCCCAAATGTTAGCGATTTAGCTCCTTTAATATATGTACCATGTAATACCTACCTTTTTACTGTTGGTATATCATGAAACTATAATATGTCACCTTTATTTTGTTGGTATATCATGAAACTGTAATAAGTTACCCATACTTTTCTTGTGCTAGTATATCATGAAACTATAATAAGTTACCTTTTTTGTGTCCACACATTGATTCTGAGTTTATCAGCCTTTGGAATTTTTGAATAATGATAATTTTTATTTGTTGAGCAACTTTGAGTATTTGTTTTAATTTTTTGTTAAGGAATTAGAAGAAGCGAAGAAAAGACAGGAAATGGCTGCATCTGCTGGGTTGTTGAAAGAGGTTGCACCAAGAAGTGTTCAGCCTTCTCCTAATGAAGATTTAAATAAACTCATGCAACAAACAGATGATGCTAAGGTAAATATTGTAGATTTTATGAATATACGGTAAAAGCATTTAAGTGCTAAAAAGTATGAGACTGCCCCAATGAACTAGAACCAAAATTTTATTCAATGCTCAAGATAAATCCATACTTTTCAGCTTCCTCGTACCATTACCTTATATCTTGTTGCTGCGCTTTCAAAATGATGTAGCTAAAGAAATTCAGTTTTTCAGGAATAACAAAAACCTAGATAACATTAAATTGAATGAAAGAATCAATTTGTTATTTTCATGTTATATTACTGGGGTTAGTGCCGATATTTGTGTATTTGAAAAGGGTGAATTCATTCTCAGAACTTTGTAAGAAGGTTTTGGAAGCACATTGATGATCTGTTATATACAATGCATCAAGTAATCATATAAAAATTTATGATTTTTTAAAACAGTTTTTTTCTAAGTAAAATTATTTGATGTTACACCTTCTAGCTATTCATTTATCAAGTAATATGTTTGATAAACCTCAGCTTTCTAGTGGAGGGGATTCAACTGGTATGTGGATGAGTTCAGGAGAATCCACACATTCAGATACTACTTCTATTGGTGAAATACAGGAAACATCAGCCATTTTAGATGAAGTTATTTTAGAAGTTATTACGGATAAGGTTATGGAAAACAATCACACTGATTTATTGTATTTAATATTTACATGTTTGATGGTTTATGAGTTAACATATATACACTTTATAAAACTTGCACTTTTGTTTGACATCATTATGCATATAACAGATATATTATCACCAGTAAGAATTTGATATCACAAACAGCATTATAATTAAAATTAGATTGTTGTCGTTTCCAAACTATATTTATGATTTATCATCTGATCTTTTTAAAATTGGTATATTGTTACATTAGTAAGAGGAAGAATCCTATATAAGTAGACCCCTTGAAAGAAAAGTTATCGTATCAGTATTAAATTTATGTGCATTATTTAAATTAATGAAACTAAGAATTGCTATTAATTGCTTCCAGAATTACGTAAGTTGTTTCACTTTGTAGAACCTTGTCAAACGCTCAGACAGAAAAGTTATAATGCGATGTGTATGAAATTGATATTGGTGTCTTGTAAATTTTCCCATTACCTACAAAAGAATAAATATGTGACAACCCTTGTTGGCTGCTCGGACGATTTAGCTGCAGTGGGTGTATGTTTCATTGCCCGGCAACCTATGTTTATAATTCGACATTGAAATATGGACTTGCATAGTTACCAAACTGCTGATATTTCATACAGTTAACTATTTTTATTTTTATGTTTAAAACAATAACACGTAATGTCAATGTTTAGGGGTCTTTTGTTTAAGCTCTGTTGAAATTTTTAATGTTTTAGTTTAATGTTAAAATTTAAATAGTATATTATGCATATGAAGGTTTCCTGATTTAAAGCACCCGACTATATTTAAATGTTATATTTTAGAAATCATAACTTGAGTCCCATAAACAATATTTCAATTCCATATTATATTATCCATGTAATTGAAGATGTTGTCAGCTATATATGTCAGTTCTTATATTGTCATGCTTATTACAAAATTCATCGGTGAATATTTTTTTTCAGGCACTAGCTTCTACAGTACCAGCAGAAATGGTTCCAGAAAAAAAGAATATTGATGCAAAAGAGGTAATAATTAGCTTGAGATAGAAAAATTTGTCAAATTAAATATAATAATTAAGAAATTAAATTGTTACAATTCCCAGAATAACTAATTTATTTCTTTTCTATAGTTTTCTTATTGCTACACAAATACAAATTTAAACTTTCCAGTTAGGAAAACTTCTTGATTTGGACTCAGGTCTGCAACCTATACAGCAGATTGTCATTAAAAATCTTAAAACGATGATGTCTGATCCTGAAGATAAACTTCCAGCATATCAACAGAAAATATTAGAATCACTTCGTTCAGCATTAAAAGTTTTAAGTGATACAAAATCGGAATTAGAAGATGAAGAGATACTACGTACATTGACGGTTGTTAGCTTGGCCAGTCAACTTACCCAAGAGTCAATGCTATTAGGAGTTCGACCAAACAGTCTCTTCAAAACTTTAGCTGATCTATCTAAGCGTCTGTTAGACGAAAAAGAAAATGAACTGAAGTTGATGCTGCTAGATAATACCATTGATGATGGTTTTAGTGAAATATCTTTTGAAAGTGGAACAGAGGTTTGTCTCAACAGTCGTGCACTTTGTTATAATGAATGCTGTTCACAACTTCAGTTTGATTCTAACATTTTTAATAACATAATTTAGTGTTCACTGTTAAGTCAAACCAATTTAGTTTTTAGTTCTTTGTTATAATGAATGCTGTTCACTTGATTTTTTAATTTACAACTTCAGCTTAATTCTGATAATCAGTGTTCACTATAACATTTTTATTAACATAATTTATTGTTCGCTGTTAGGTCAAACCAGTTAAATTTTTAGTTCTTTAGGATGGTTGTGTCTTGTTAAATAAATAACTGCTCGGGTCTCATGAGTGCAATGTTGAAAATTCCAAACCTTAAGATTTTTTGATAAGATCCATTAAATATTTCTTTATTTTTATATTCCCTTTCCCCCAACAAATAGGAAGTAAAATTTTAATTTATGTTCTTCCTGAATAACTGAAATTCAAATTCATGTGACCTAATATCTGATTAAGTTGTAATTTAAAATTCTATTTATAAGATATTAATTGAATTTTGAAGAAGATTGTTTTGATATTATTAACAATTTGTTTCCAGGGTTGACTTGTATTGTAACATATTAAGGACATTTGTATTAATCTAACCATAATAATTTCTTTACACTAACTTTAATTTATTACAACTTTTTTATTATTAAATGTCAATTTCTTTGTTTATTTTTGCTACAATCTAGTTGTACTAAAATCAAGGCATAGTCCTTTATACATGAAATATAACAGATGTATATGATTATTAAATTATTTTTGTGCAGTTTGTTAAACAGTACTTTATTATTGATATCAGTATGTTACATTTTACTTAAATACATTTTTGATAGGCAGAAATATCAATTTCAACATTGAGAGATTTACCAATTCTTGATGATGTCAGTGAAGTGGACATTTATTCTGAAAAACCTGAAAAGCTCCCAGACACTGAGGAAACAGCTGTCCAAACAGATGAAATTTGTAAAGATGCTGTAACAGAATCTGATACTGAAAACCAAAGGCAACTTTCAGGTGATCAAGAAGAATCTCCTATAAGTGTTTCTTCAGCAAAACCTCAGAATTCAAGTGCAGTAACTGGAGGCACTGCGGATGATGAAAACACTAGTGGTGCTGTAGAAGAAGACACAGATGAGGCTAACACATCGGTGGCAAAAACAAGGCCTGTGTCTGGAAGAAGTTTCACTTCTAATTCTCCAATGTCAGATGCATCAGACACAAGATTTAACCACAGTACAGTCTCTCAGACAGATTCAAGTATAGCCACTTCCTCTAAACCAAACTATCTTGTTGTCAAGGTAACCGACCAACCCACTAATGTCAACAATTGGTTTTAATTTGAACTTACCACCAATTTAACCTGATGTTGTTTTATTTTAATTTACCCAAAACATATTTTATATTTTAATGTAGTCACCAACCACAAAACAGCTTAATTTTAATGAAGGTTTGCTTTAAACAGTGATTTATTTTGCTGTGTCAAGGGAGATAACCCATCCTTTGTTTTCACCAATAACCAACATTAACATTTTGTTCTGTTGATTTATATTAATTTTTGTTGTTAATATCTTGTTAATTGTTAACCTCCAAAAATTTTTGTTAATGTGTATCCCCATAATCAAGTATTGAATTGTTGAACACCATGTCCTATTTGATAATCAAGCAGGCTACACTTAAGTAGAATAAAATACTCTATGGTCCTGAACATGATCTGAAGACCAGATATCTAAAGAGGTATTACCTCACTTTAAAGATCTTCACTAATCGGTAGAAAAATAAATGTTGATTTTACTTTTGGTGTTCTCAATAAACTCACCAACTCTGGTACAATGTATTTTCTTTTTTTTTTTTCTTTCATGTATAATATAAGGGTGGACTATCAGATATTTTCAAAACAAAGTAAATGATCCAGGATGTTTTATAACAATCTAATAATATTGATCATTTTGTTAATACTTATATTTTGATTTTTTTGATTTAATTACCTTTGATACAAACCCACTCTAACCCTATGTGTTGATAGTTAACATAAATTTAAATTTTGAAACCTAAAAAAAATAGTTTATTATGTATTATATATATAGAAAATTTTATAAATCATTTCTAACGATAGAAATTATTTCTTTGTTGTTTATGTATTACAAGAAGGATGCTCGCTAATTCATTTATCGATATAATTTGAGTTTTGTTATTAATCCAAGAATGAATATAACATTTTGGTAACATCAAAAAGATTATTATGCAATTTAAGACTTAGTAAATGATGTTTATATTTAATAGTTACCAGATGGAGGTAGTATTGAAGATGATGATTTTCGTATTTCTTCTGCCAAAAGTCGGCATTCTCTTCGTTCTCATTATAAATCAAAGATTCAGGAGACAAAGAAAGCAGCAGAGGATAGAAAATATAAGGCAGCTGCTCTGTCAAAATCTATAACCCAAGTTAAAGATGAAGAAGAGAAGATAATAGATGAAGATCATGAAGGTAATGAAAGCTTGTGGAAATGAAATAGGGTTTAACATCCTACTGTTTTGTTCCGACTGGGCTAATGAAGACGGACATTCACCATACAGTGTGCTTTTTTGTTCTATGAGAGAAATTTTGCAGCAGCACTATGGCCTACTCTTATATCAAATTCCAACTACCAAGGAATCTTTTACGTGCATGCCAATGTGTACACACGACCTCAGTTTTTTGTCCCATCCCTTGCACCACTGACAAGGCCAATGCAGGGATCGGACACGACACCTCCAGGTTAGCAGGCCAACGTCTTACTAAGCCACCATGACTCTGGATGGTTGTGGTAATTAAACACCTGCTGTTTTCCATATATTAAATCATTTTTATCATATTACCGGTTTCATTCAAAATTTACCTACCGTAATATGAGTTGAGTCACTGAGATCTAGTCGCAATTGTTATAATACTGTTTTATATGCAATATGCTAGCAAAGAAAAAAAAATATGAATTGCTGTCATATAATGTTTTTTTTTTTCAAAATTAACTGATGACAATATGTATTCTGTTCGTTATTTCAGATTATTTAAAAGGATTTGGTTATTCAGTCACAGGGTAAGATATCTTTTATAATTACTCTTAAAGCTAGGTCATGAACAATCTGATTAAAGTACAGATCTATATTTCTTTTTGTTTTTTATGCTTTCGATGGCCTCTACTAAATGAAGATCTGACCGGTTGTAGTGGGAGGTTGTGTCAGGGGTCATACGAGTGGCTTTTGACCTTATGACGTCAGACATTTCATTAACCAATCAGCGTTGATGTTTCTATTAGGATACCCACAGTTCCTTGCATCGCATGCCAAGAACTCAATGCAACAGACCTTTTCATTGGCTAATCCCTCCCATCAAGCACAATGCAGGTTATATAAGAACTCTTCCAGATCCTAGTAGTAAAGACAGGTAAAACGAAATTTTGAACTATAAAAAACAAAACAAAATAAGATCGGTGTTTTAATCAGATTGGGTCATAAACTAACAAAAAGATTTGAATACTATATTGACCAGGAAACAAGCATGATGTTGTCAATGTCTTCTTGGAATTGTGACTGAAATCAAAAATCGAAGTCTGTCAATTGGTGTGCAATTGTTCAAGGAACAAGCATGCCAAGTTTAATGTGGATCATACATGAACTTGTGAAACCATAGGCATTTTTTGAAGAGTGTTGCTTCCACAAAGAACAACAATAACAAGATGAGTAGTACTTGGAAAACAGTTCTTGGTCCAAAAAATAAATACTGACATAGGTAATTGTGATTTATTTTATTCATGTGCTGTTTTAGGTTTTTGTAAGATTATATGAAATCTCAATGAAGTATTTTTGATCTTTTCAGAGAATTATTACCAGAACATCCAGTAGTACAAGAATATTTAAAATCTCATAACAGTACTATAAGTTTTAAAGAGGCTTTAATAAAAATACTTCTTGATAAAGGTAAATTGTTTGTTATGATAGTCTGATTAGGTTGTTACATAATTCCAATCCGTCGGCTTTTTGGGTAGAATTCATGGAATAAGCTTTATTTTGAAGGTCCTCCGGTTTCCTCCCACTGCTAAAGACCCCTACGCGCGAGCGAATTATTGAAATAAAATTAAACCATGTTAGTCCCGAAATGACCTAGTTTGTGTCGAGTGGGCATTAAACCCCATTTCTCTCTCTCTCCCCGAGTGAATAGGCTTTTCTTTCCCAGAAAAATAAAATTGATATCAGCTCAGTGGTCATGTCGGATGAGGAATTTTCATCGTTGGATAATATACCAAATGGGTACGACACTGTACCGGCTTTCAGGAATATGCTATAAGCTAATTGCCTACGTAGCAGAAAATGCTAAAATGATGAATATACATATTTGACACAGTTATATGTGGCAGAAATCGAATCTGCACCCCCGAAAACATATATATTGACACCAAAGACAACTATTTAATCGAAATCGGCACATATATATATATCGCCAGATTTTCCAGCCACAAGTGGCAGCAATATTGGAAATATGCTAAATATGTGAACATGTGATCATTTTACAAGGTTGTAAATGTCAGAAATGGATTCTGCTTTCCTGTAAATATATATATATTGACATCAAACACTACTACTTAATCAAAATCTGCACATCATCTCATTTTCCCGCTTAAAATGGCGGCCATCGTGGAAATATGCTAAGTATGTGAACATGTGATCCTCTTACAATGATCTAAATGTCAGGAATGGAATCTGCGACCCCAAAAACATATATATTGACACCAAACACTACCACTTAATGAAAATCAGCACATCATCCGATTTTCCCACCTAAAATGGTCGCCATCTTGGAAATATCTTCATGAAGTGATGGAAAAAATCTAACCCCTGTCAATACTAATACAGTGCCAAATCACAGTTGATAAGTCGATAAGATTATAAATAAGTTGAAAACAAAATATAAGTTGAAATATTATTGCAAAATGACTGCCTTTCAAATAATGGCGTCCCATACTATGAAGACTTATTGAGAAAAAATGTCAACATTGGTTTTTTGTCATCAAACATCAAAACCTACAAAATAAAGCTTGTTCCACGATTTCTACCCGAAAAGCCGACGGATTTACATTAGGATTGGACTATGAAGTCTATCATATGAAAGATGTAAACCATGGACGTCAAAACCATAAAAGTTTATCTTCGTTAGTGCAATAAAAATGTTCATCCATATATGATTTACTTTACCTGATTCGGTTTGAATATATATTACAGATATGATGTCAGCCAGTCAGTTAATATCAGATTTAGAAATTCACCACTTTAAGAAAGAAGCAAAGATATTTCCACAATTAGAAAAAATGACCAAAAATACCAGCATGGGTAGGATTTTTTTCAGTATTTCTTTTTAAATTTTTAAAAAAGCAAACCATATTTTATCAGTTGCTGTTCTCAAAATTCAAAGATATTGGAGGAAGCTCTTAGAATCCTGAATGAATTATTCAAATTACACATTTTGCATTTTTTCAGTTCTGGATGAAATCATCTCACTTTTAAATAGTATATTATTTAATGACAGGGTAAGTTTATATATCTTATTTATTAACAGTTAGATAGAATCATGTCCTTAATTGATGTTACTGGTAGAAATTAACAAATATCATCGACTGAAATCAGTTTTATCATTTTATTTCCTGATTTTATAGGAGAATTGAGGGCTAGGCCTGCATAAACCAAGCATATTTATTGACATTTTTCCATTGCATCCATCACCAAGAAACCATCAGTGTAGATAAATGCATTATTTTAAAATGTATATTGTTTGCTTAGGCCTTATTTGTTAGAGGCGCTGATGTTTAATTTGTATAAATCAATCATTGCATAGGCAAAGGCTTTATACACACTTGTATATGGTATACCATTGACAAAGAAATGTCGTGTTTCTTACCTGACCTGACAGATTATCACCGATAAGAAATCAGGCTTTTGGCGCCAAATGATCCTTGTGTGTCAGAAAACCTTAAAATAAGAATTAGAATTTTAACCTTAAACCTAAGATGTATTATTGTGGTTTTATTTTGCATTTAGGATCCCCCTGTTTCTTCTATGATGTATATATCACGAGATCCAACATGTATGTCCAGAGAAAAAACACCGGATACATCTCGTACACCAGCACCAACTAGAGAGAGCATACATTCTAATGTATATAACCAGGGTGTAGACAATGTAGATAATGAATATATTCGCGATTTACAACATCAATGTCATTTATTGTAAGTTGTAATAATATACTACTACATTTTTATAAGCTCATATTTTATGTAGGAGTATAGGCCTATAATGTCGTCACCATTGTCTGTCATTCATGGAGGGACATAACCTCTGTCATTGAGTCTAGTGTTGTGGTTTCAATCCCATGCTTGTTTTCTCTGGCTTCCTTCCTCTGTATTGAGGGTATGTTAAAACTTCTCACATTATTATTCTGTAGGAGTAAGGAACCCTATGGAAATGAGTAGTGTGCCTCAAAGAGTAGAGTTATTGCTCCTGTCACCGATACTTTGTAAACTCTCAGTGTTTTAACTTATTTGTACATACTGTGACTTTTTGACCTACTTTAAGAAAGCTTCTACCTTGTGGGTATATAGGTTTTATTTTAAAATTTTATAAAATGGTTTGCAGGTCTTTATTGACATATTTGACAATACCCTTCTATATTAAGGACTAAAAAATTACAAAAATATTATATTTTATAAAAGTTGATTATACATGTATTAAGTTAAATGTTTGGTGTTTTTGGTTTTATTAGAAAAGACCACTTAGATGAAACAAGTAAGAAACATGAAGAGCAGCTGAGGTAAGTACATTGATTTATTCATAACAGTTTTAGTCATTTGATCCATTAAGAACTATGAATAAAATCATTTAGATGTCTATAATAGTTCAAAAATAGATTGGCAAGGACAGCTGTCTAGTCCTTCGGATGAGACGAAAAACCGAGGTCCCGTGGATATATTGGAATGCACGTAAAAGATCCCACGGCAGTTGGAATTCAATATAAGAATAGGTGATAGTGCCGCTGCACGGCCAAAATTTCCCTCATAGCACACTGTATGGCATATGTCCGTCTTCATTAGCCTGTCTTCATTAGTCCAGTATAGGAGTAGGACGTTAAACCCCATTTCATTTCAAAAATAGATAATGAAAAATGAATATATTGAAAATTTCATTCAAATTACTTTATTCTGAACGAAGTTATGACTGTTCGAAGATGTATCGAAGATCGTCCATTATCATAGCAACATTACTTTACAGCCAAGACTAAATTCTGATTTTGTCCATTTTATTGTTAAAAATCTTGTGAGTTGATTATAGACTTATCATGTTAATAAATGTCTAATAAATAATAATTTATATAATATTTGAAGTCAGAAAAAAGACCAGCAATAGGATTATTTAGCTCTTAAATAATGCATCTTTAAGTTTTTATTAATTTATTTGTTTTTAAATATTAGACATAACACTGTTGTAATGATGGAGATGCAGGACACAATAAATGGATTACAGAGAGAGTTATCTACCCTTGGTAAAGCCCCACGTTCTAGATCAGTCACACCACGATTGCAGGTACAAGAAATGATTTTCAACTATTTTATAGATTTTTGTTTTTGAGGGTTAATATACACTTATTTCAATCTTATATTATGGAACTAGTAAGATGTTATGCATTCTTTAATTATCTATTTAATTATTTCTTTTATAGTTAAGTCAAGCCCCGTCACCAGAGTCTTCTATCATGTTTACAAGACTTGATGCGGAAAGAAATGCAAAGATTATGAAGAAAGCTGTAAATGATGCAAAATTAGACCAAAACAAATATAAGGTAATTGAATGAAGCACATTTCTTTTCTTTTTTGACTTGGTAGACCTCGATCTTTTTTAAAAAAAAATTCTTTGTCTCAATTTAAAGAAATATAATTGTTTGTTTACATCATAAATTGGGTTCGCTCCCGAAGGTTTCTCAGGATTTTCCGGCATGGTTTACCCTTGTCAGTGATGCAGGATGAAGGTACTGGCAAACTTGTCGTTTGAATGGTACGAAAAACTGAGGTCCTGTGCACAAATTGGCATGCATATAATGGAACTTTTGCCAGTTGGAATCCGAAATAAGAGTATGGTGTAGCGCAGCTGTTTGGGCAAAATGTCCCTCATAGCACACTAAATGGCGCATGCTGTCTTCATTAGCCGAGTCGGTGCAGGAAAGTAGGATGTTAAACCCCATTTCATTCATTTACACCATAGATGGCAAATCTAAAACTTCAGTTCTTTATTTCATTTCTGATTTTGAGAAAGTTTTTAAATTAATTTGATATTTTAAAAAAATGTGAAGAATAAGCTTTTGTGAATGATAATTTTATTATTGTAGGATGCTGTATCTCAAATGGACAAGTACATAAGCTTACCAGCTCAAAGACTAGCTCATCTAGTTCAGAAATATGTCCACCATTACAGAATGAAATACATAGAAGGTTTGTTTCAAATTTTTTTCAAAGATGACCAATTATAAATAATCTTGAATAGATCACCGAATTGTGATACTAATTTTAATTTCTTTTTCAAATTTTATTTAAAGAATACATAATTTATTTCTTATCTCTCACATATACAGACAATATGGCTAGCATTAAGATTATAAACCTGTCCGTCATTACTTTAATAATTTGATTTAAAGTCTATAAAGTGATTGCCTTAAGCAAGAATGGTCTTGACTGTTATAATCTTTGGGTGCCAATAGGCTTGTAAAGAGACATCTCGAGAAAGGGTTATAAAATTATGCATTCTTTGAATAAAATTTGAAAAAGAAATTAAAATTAGTATCACTATTCGGTGATAAATATCTATATAATATATATTTTTTATAAATTTTTTGTGACTTTTGGTTTCATAATTTATTAGAATACGGAGGATTAAAGGCAGTAATTGCTAGTATGTTACTGAATTGGTGAAGTTGTAACTCGTATTATAGCAAACTTATAGTTCATGTATAGTTTTGGTATTATTTTCAGAAACAGTACAGAAAAGTAGAACTTTAGATGATGATGTTTTTGATGTTTTGGACAAGATGGAAGACCTACAGAACCAGGTAAGTAATTTGTTTTATGTTGAATTTGACAAATAGTAAGTGCAGGAAGACCACACCACACACAAACAATTACACAAGACAAACCTACGGACAGGACACAATATACACAGACACCACAAACAGCATATCGGATAAAGTTAATGGATCCGGATGCTAGCCATAAGTGTCCACGGTACATTACATTACCTGGCCTGTAGTGATACAGGCTTCACTCAAAATGAAAAACAATAAGGAAACCAACTAAAAAAAAAACGAAATATTTCCCAAACATTGTATCATACTAGTCTGAGTCATGTTCGGTTATGTGCTGCATGAAATCTCAATCTAGGCACATTGAAGGGAAAAACCTTATCACATTATAATCATGATTTTTGACTCAGGAATCCAAATCAAAATTATCACTCTGACAGTTGCTGTACACAAAGCATGAAATACTTATGCCTGATCTTATCAGAACACCTGATAACACTTATTTATTTTGGAAATAAGCTTATATAGCTTAAATATTTTAATCCTGCAGTTAAACCTGAAAGCATATATAACTACTATCGGTGCGTTTTCTTAATTAAATAACCTTGGTTTAGCAAGGGATATAAATGATATGTTAGAGGTTGTGGTTATATCAAGATATTGTTGTGTACAAAAACTATTGTCTTTTGGGCTTGATGCAACAAAATGTGAAGCCAAAGGATAAACTAAAATTTATAATCAGGCCGGCAAATATTTTTTAATTATCAAAATCTTAATTATTGCAAACCAGTCCTTTTGCAGATGACCGAGAACAGTTGTTGTTTGACTGATTGTTTAATGGGGGGGTGGGTCAAGTGTGCTTTAAATCATAAGGTCTACTATTGAGTCAAGTGGCGTGGTCCTCCAGTTTCCTCCCACTACCAAAGACCCCTAATACTTTTAAGACTGAAAACTCCACAGTTTTCATATTGCAATTGATTAAGATAATGCAATACAGCCAATAAAAGTATTAAAATGTATTGCAATATAATGTAAATAGATATAATAAACTTATATTAGTCTTGGTTCATAAAGTCAAAAGGCCACAATGTTTTGATAGAAAATAATTAAGATAAATTATAATCTTCTTATATTAAAATGACCACTCAGAAACTATTGTTAATAATACTGGTATTAATATTCAACAATATTGTCAGGGATATTAGGTTATGTAATATAATAATAGTATTAATAAAATAGAACATAGCAACACTTATGGTATAATCATATCAGTGTCTGGCTAGTACAGACTAAGCTGACCTTACTCATGTTAACTATAAGGATTATGCTATGTAGACTACCGGTAAATAAATGGAGTTTGTCTGTATGCTTGTGATAAACTATTAAAGATACCCGTTTCTGACCAAATTCTTACAGTTGCATGTTTGTTATTTGGTTAATGGAATTAGAATAACACTTTGTTTTGAAATTTATTTGTTTACTTCAGAGAGCAAAACGGTGGGCGGACAAAATGGATGAAATGGGAACAGAAAGATTAAGAATGGCTAATTTACTAATGGAAACATTGGACAGTATTGAAAATGAATCTGGAATATTTCTCATTAAACCTATGTACTCTTATCGTGGAAGGTAAAATCTTGTCATTATTTTTTTTTTTTTTTAATAAGTATAACGCGTAAATATATGTGGTATAAATTACTGTTTTTGAACTATGGTACACAAATTCTTAAAAAATGCAGGTAATCTTGACTGACGCACTAAACAAAACATACACTCATGTGAAAATTACCAACTATACTCAACAAATTACTACTGACAAAGTAACTGGCAACTGTGCGTCCTGGTTGCCTGTTGTTTTGCTCTTTGCCTCTCCCAAACAAATATTATTTTTACATGAGCAAGAATTTTTACATATTCATGGCAACGAAAAATACATAGAAATAGTCCATTTATGTAAAACATACAAACACCAGTTTCTTAAAGATCCAGATTCATCCTTGTGTTCATGGGCATGGATTTAGGTTTATATTTAGAATCTGAAGGGGGGGACGAATAGTTCTCTGTCCCCCCCCATGATTTTGATCGCCAGGACAGGTTTTCCGGTTTATACCCACATGATGGTGAGCTTATTTCTACGTATCTGGAACTGAATCAGGACATGGAACAAGAATTGCCATTCTTCAAGCGCCAGTTTTCGGCCAAATCTATTTCACTTGTGCACGAAGCGTTCCTCATTATGTCACCTGAAGTGAGGCAGATGTTCCCTTCTGTCAAAGCTGTTCTCATCTCACACTGCTGAACCCTGCTAGTTCCTGCTCAGCCGAGCAATCCTTACGCACTCTGCACTGCATCAAAACTTGGCTGCGCAAAACCGACTGAACCACTTGAGGGCGTGTGTGGTGCATAATGACCCCCTTCATGTCGCCAAGATATTCAAAGAGAACAGTCCTGATCGTTGAACGATTCACTTAACTTCATATATTTATGCAGCTTTGATGTAGGTAGTCAATTTTCCATATTGTCATCATATTACCCCTAGTTACAGCCTTCATCGAAATAACACTGGTACAGCAAACTGTTCGTAATTATTTGTTTCGTTTGGTAATGAAATGTTCTAGGTTCCAGAGTTCATCCGTCCCCCCACCCAAAAGTTATGACAAATCCACGCCCTTGCATGTGTTACCTATTAATCCTCTAATACATATTTTAATTATTTTTTTTAGAGAATTGCTTCAGAGATATACTGGAAAACTAAGTCGACCTATCAGATCAAGAAAAGCAAATTCTTCTACGCTTCTTCCAGAAAACCTCAGATCTTTTGGTCCGGCTCCCACACCAGCATCTAACATCAGAAGTATTCACCGAGAAGTTTCATCGTTACAGGTGCGGAAATTACCATAGTGAATTGGTTTAGATTTTAATGGCGATTTCTTAGCCAAATCTATAGAATCCAGTTAATAATAATAATGTGCTTTAAACATTAATCAGTTTTAAATAAAAGAATACTTTTAATGAGATGTTTCATATAAAATGTACAAATAAGCAGTGGCCATAATTATAATGTGGATAACTTCTTTCTATTCCAAAGTGCCTTCCATTAAAGTTTCAACCAACTTTTAATATTTTACATATATCACCATAATAGTATTGTAATACCAGTAAATGAAGACAATGGTAGCTCAGTGATTATCTATCCATTAGCTTAATATATATTTTTAATAGAATCAAGACACTAGACAGTTAACAGCACCTTCACCAAAAGGTACATTTGATGGAACAGATGGAGGTGTAGCAGGAGCAGCTGTTAACTGGGTTGGAACATCTTCAAATTCGACATGGAATGTATGTACAAATAGTAAATAATGTGGATATTTCAGTTATAAATTAAACTCTCTGATCAAAATCATTTACCCCCACATTTTAATTCTTTGTCCTCCTGGGAAACTAATTTTAATAATGATAATAATAATAATTCAGAAATTCTAAGATGGTTTATCTGGTATAAAATATAGAAGACAAATATATTTTCAGATGTCTGCATCTCAACCAAGTGCAGTAAAAGATGATATTAGTAGTTTTCACAACACTCCTAGAATATTAGAACTTGATATCAACAGAATGCTGATTGGTCAAAATAATATAAGGTAAGCATTAAAAATTTACTGTAATGAGAAATGTAATGAAATGAAATGGGGTTTAACATCCTACTTTTCTGAATCAAATGGGCTAATAATGATGGCCATATACCATGCAGTGTGCAATGAGGGAAATTTGCCTGGACAGCAGTGTTATATCCTACTCTTCTCCAAATTTCAAGTGTCCAGGGCCCGGTTCCTAGAAAATTCTTAAAGTGAGCACAAAGTCATGCTTCACTTTTTCTTACGTAAGAAACTTATAAAAATACCGTCCCTAGAAAATTCTCAAGACCATTCTTACGTAAGCACAAGTCAAGTATAAGTCTAAGTACATTGTGACTGGTAAAGTTTACCATAAACTGAGACTACGATGCTCTTTAACGTCACAAAAACAACTTTGGTATGCGAATTACGTCATAAATTTGTCGTCTGCTTCATTGACGTCATATATATATATATATATGGTTGATTTAGATGTAGGCTATTTGACATGTCCCCTATACACATATAAAATGTGCCACAAGATAAAAAAACGCAAACACATACAAACTAACTGAATAATTGTGAGAGCGCTTGATCTTAAGTAACCCGTGTGTTTGTAGCCTATTGTTTACTAACTGGCAAATAAATAAAATGGTTTCAGGGTAGAAGCGAAATTTTCTATAGTATTCTTAATTTCTTCTGGAGAAGGATTTTCTCTGTCTTGTAATTGTCTCTTTGGTATCAAAAGGTGTCGGAAATTCCGTCGAATAACTCTAAGCAAGCCGTATACCTTGCTTGGGACTTGTGCTTAGATTGACTATGTTTAAGAACGAAGTTGTGCTTAAGTTTTTTCTTGGAACGCATAATAACGTTCTTGTGCTTACAATGAAGTCTACTTAAAATCTAAGCACAAGAACGTTCTTAAGAATTTTCTGGGAACACAAAATAAGATAAGTTTACTTAAATGCAAAGTCTACTTAAGAATTTTCTAGGAATCGGGTCCAGGATAGATTCTGATGGTGTGTGGTTTCGTCATTGGACTTTGATTAGAATATCTCATGTTTAAATCCAGACATGAAAGTGGTTAGTCTCTATCATCCAGAAAAATATTCTATGAATATTACTCTGGATGCATTGTCAACATTTTAGAATAAAAGGTCATTGGCTAGATCTTTTACATTATCATAAACAAAGTCTAAGGGAGGTAACTAGTCCTAAAACAAGACGTTGACGCCCATGAAATTAATTTAAGAATGCCATTTCAAATAATACATCTGATTGCATGACAGTTCAATATCCAACACTCTTATTTTTTTTTTTATTGTAAAATTTCTCTCTTTATGGGCCATATCTATGTTTTTTAAATTAATCCTAATTTGTTGTCATGATTCATGTTTGTCTTTAATTATGGGATTTATTGTGGGAAGGGGTGCAACTCTTACTTATTGACTTGGCCAAAGATACTGGATCATCAACCACATTAAAAACCAAACTCCTGGTTACGCATGAGCAATGGACTTTTCATCAGATATTGACAACGGTCCCAGACCCTCAGTACGTTTAAGACTAGGAGGTTCTGTGTGAACGAGACTAGAAAGTGGTTTAGTCACTGGACTAATGATTAGAATATCTCAAGTTAAATTTTAGAAATGAGATTGCAGAACCTTCAGTATTTTTCTAGTTCAGTTGAGTTCGCATCTGTTAAGAGTTACAAGATCATGTAATGTACAAATATTGGTATACACTTTTATTAAAGTAAGCCAAATTGATATAGTTTTAACTGTATTTACAGTACAAGATTATGTTATCCACTCACAGATGATCGACTTGTTAACGCTTCTCAAAATACCCTTCGTACCTATGTTACTGTTAACAGACCTGCAGTTCAACCTAAAGGTCAAGATAGACCTCATTCTGTTACAGGTAAGGATACCTTTTATTTTAATGATAATCTCAGGTGACTTACTCATTGACAACTGGTTAAAACCCTGTAGGTATTTTATAATCATTTTGAACAAAAAAAAGTTCACTGAAATTGTAAACAAGTCAAAGTATTGATTCTGTGTGTGATTCAATTTATATTTCATTGTTTTATATTCCCTATTGTATATTTTACCTGATTCATTATTACAAGTCACCTTAATTGTGTACTGTAAACAGCCAATGTATTTTGTACTAAGTAGCTGCTCGGAATATATGTTTGATCTTATGTAGAGTAGAAAATCAGAACCATAAAAACAAAAAGGAAATAAAGATATAATTGTAATTGTACAAGTACAGTCGCAAGAAATCATTAGGCCACTGAACTCCTGTTTACCTTCAATAATTACAGGTGCTAGAGATTCATGTGCTCCACCCACCACACCACAACAAATATCATCCAGTACTGGTATAAGTGAGGTTGATGTACCACAGAAACTACCCAGTACACCACCATTACCACCTATAAGTAAAACTAGAAATATATCGGGTTAGTTGCTACTATATTTATATATATATCACAGTCTGACAGTTGGAAATTATGCATAAATCCCTAAATCTTTTCATGTAAAGCTTGTTTGATTTACAGCTAATTTTAAGTTAGATTTTAGATCCATTTTCCTGATTCAAAATCGCCCTAAAGATAACTTTAAAGGTACAGTATAAAATATATAGAGAATCTCCTACCAAGTTGATAAAGTAACAAAAATTGAGGCTCTGCCGAGTCTGCCGAGTTTTATAATTATAAATATAATTATCACCCAATAATACATTCTACAGTAGATATCACTTGTGTGATATATTTCATAATCTACTGCGATATCTCCTTAGGAGATAACGCTTTACATGAATTTGATTGGTCAGTTGAAAAGAAACTACTTTTTTTTATTTTCAAAGAACAGTTCATTTCTTATTAAAAGTACCTTTTTTTATTAAAAATGAACTATTGTTATTCAGTTGACCTTGATGGAAACACTGGGTCAATATAAAGGACTTTGCAATGGTTGAATTCCTGTCAAAAAATGATGTATCACTACGCCATAATGTTCAGTAAAAGTGAAATCTGCAGCAAAGAATTATATTTATCTATTTGTGCATGTAAGAAGGGATTGGGTGATAAATAAAATCTCCTACTCGTCTTTTTTGATATCAAAAAAGACTGGTAGGAGATTCTCTATTTCTTTGCTGTTACTAGTTTGGCAAAAATGATTTTAGTTTTCATTAATTACAGCCTCATCCTCTCGTCCGTCTCCTTCACTGGATGGAGGAATTCATATTAAACATGGCAGAAGTTATTCTGGAAAATCACAGACGACATCTGATGAGGACTGATCTACTAAATACAATATCATTTGACCAAGTTCACATTGTACTACAAGATGGTAGATCGATATTCTGTAAATCTAAGTAGATAATGAGTTTATTTGAATATTGGAGGTTGAGCATTCCAATCTATCCAGACACTACTTCCAATCGGACTATGGAAGCAAGACGTTCTGGTTGACTCAGTTGGCTTCAAACCACAAAACTTATAGAAATGGTGACATGTCATTCGTTTTGAATTTTCTTCATCTTAGTTCATCCCAATCTGAATTTATACAAAAAGTCTATGAAGAATTTGTAATCATGTGCTTATATTTGAAGTACCACCCAGTGATAACCGATTACAGCATTACGTTTTCAATAATTGTGTGTTTGTACTTGAAGTACAGAAAAGTTAAAACTTTTATGTACTGCATTATTTGTTCAAGATAAAAAATAAACTTGAAGTAGAGCCTTGTACATGTAATAACATTAACGGCATTATGATATATTCAAATTAGGTTACTGTGGTCTTTATTTGTGCTTTTATGTGATATTTTGATGTATATTAATTTAAATAATTATATATATAATAAATTCTGTTATTTATTTATTCAATTTATAGAATATATTACCCACCTGTAACTCTCTTTATGGCTAGTTGAGAGCTTTGGTCAGCAGAATTGAACAAAACTTCAGTGATTTAGTTGTCTGTGGGAAAGAATCTGTTTGCCAGAGAGTTTTGATCTGAAAATGAGTAGCTATGTAATAACAGGGATGAGAGGGGGGTTGGATGGCCAAATGGTTAACGCGTGCGCTTTGTATTATAAGGTTTGTCATTGAGTCAACTGGCGTGGTTTCAATTCCACGGTTGTACATGACAAGGAGTAAGGTCGCCTGTCCAACCTCGTGGGTTTTCTCCGGGTGCTCCCACAGCTAAAGACCCCTACGCGCAAGTGAATTATTGAAATATAATTGAACCGTATGTTAGTCCCGAAATTACCTGGTAGTGGTATAAAAGGTAATGATTATTTACCAGAGCCTGACATGCACAATATGATCTCAGTTACGTATGGTATGGTATGGCATGTGTTTCACAAGGTGCTGGAGAAGGATGGCCTAAACCATGCACTTTTATTTTTTCCTGAAGCACCTCTGCCAAAGTCTCCCTGCACCTTATCTATGCATGCGCCTGCTACACCGAAAAATACGGTAATTGAATAGAAATAAATTTTGCATTACTGGTCACCATCAAATCAACTTGTTCATGTCACACACAACAATGTAAGACCATAAAATATGAGGTAGCATCATATAAAATAATAAGGTAGTCACTTAGTGTCACAGGGCTTGCCACGAGACGCGAGTAATTACTCGCGCGCACGCTACGCTCGCGTCAAACCAAATTTACGTGAGTGATTAAGTACTCGCGCAAATATAAAAAATTATTTAATCAGAAATAATTGAATATCGTAATATAAAAAGCCGTAAACAATTTGTATGCCTTCATATTGATGCACTATTGCGCACGCGGCGTGTCTTTCCAGTGCCAACTGTTGTTACTAAAAATACTTTGAGACGCGTACTGCCAGGCGGTTTTTAAGTGGATGTCCTTTGCCGTGTCTGGATAATCAAACATTGAGCGGATATTGTCGTTTCTATTAATAGCAATTCTTTCGATCCCACATCTTTTCTACAAATTGATGGGATTGAAATTGTTTTGCCTGTTCTTTTACCTTTCTAAGCTTTACCCGAATCCCCTCAGCACGCCAACGATGGCAAAGGGAAACCCAGTTTCCCTTGCAACGTTGTTGTCATGGGAAGACGATTTACAGATAATATTACTGCCAAGGAAATAAAAGAGTATCCATTGCCTTTGTGTGTGAAATAGCTTTATTCAACGTCCGCTTCCACCGAAGTGACAAGAGCATTGCCATTAGGCACATGGAATTTAAATGGCTACTCACGCCCATCATTCTGCGTGAGTAAATACATGTACTCGCCTCACTCGCGCAAGTCTATATTTGCGGGAGTAGTCATCTACTCGCCTCCAATTTGCTCGTGGCAAGCCCTGGTGTCATGTCTCCCGTTGGTCATCATCAACTAAGTTGTCGTTTGTTTTTAAAAATGTATTTCAAGTTCAATTACTGATATGATAGTGCAATAATCAAATGTAATTTCATAGCCATAGTGAACCCACAAACCTTCAACAGATAATGAAATGAAGGATGGACAAAACAATACATGTAACTCAAGTTATTTTATGATCAGTAGTAGAATACCGCGTTTTATCAGTGAAATAGAAGTGTTATTCCACTGGCTAGCAGTAGTCCATGTTGTTTTTACCTAAAATGATTGTAAAATCATAAAATAAATAGAACATTTGTCGTTTTGTCGTGAATAACATATTTTATTTCATCTCTAAGCAAGAAAACTTTATATTTTCACTCATGCTACGCATTCGTGAAAATATAAGTTTTCTTGCTTCTCGATGAAATAAAATATGTTATTCATGACAAAACGACAAATATCCTCTATATACTTTATGCAACACAACTAAAATTAGATAATTCTTTATATCATAACAAAATAGTACACACATCTTTAAAATCTTCATATAACAAATACATACTAGAGCACTTCAGTTAATAGTTATAAAATAAAATAAATAGTAATATAAATAAAAATTTCAATGACACACTCAAACATTTTACTAAATATTGTTAACAAAATAAATTTAAACTGTGTTAAAATTTAATTTCCTTTTTAACATATTCTGTAATTATAATTTTGGTAAAAGCATAATAGTGTTTCTAAAAATTCAATTATTAAACATACATTATGCTAGAGCTAAATCTGTCCATTGCAGGTCTTTCTTTAGGCCTGAAATGTCATCTAAATTATTAATTAGACATTAATTAACTTATCCAGACCATAATCAACTCTAGATGGCATTGCTAGCCTGCGATCTTTAGTGGATTATGAGCCGATTTACTGCATAACTTTCCTTCGCGATTTAATGATTAAATGGATAATCAAGACTATGCTGTGTAGTAATGATGATCGAGGCTAGGCGAAAATTTCAATCGCTTAGTTCTCAGTTCATAGTTGATCAATTTGAATGAAATTTTCAGCAAATTGCCTTTACATTATCTAGTTTTTAACTATTATAGGGAGAACTGCGGACTCGTTATCGAATTTCCCATAATGTATCTTTAAGCATTGAAATTGAATGAAATCAAAATTACTGTATAGTTGTTATTGAACCGGTGCCTTCAGTAATTAGTTTGTTATTCATACTGTAGTATTTCATTTTAATATTTTCTTAGCAGATAAATTTATTCCATAATTGTTTATTTTATTTGTGGAGGAGAGGTGGGGTGCAAGGCAGGAAATGAAAGCCTATCATGATTTATAAGGGTGAGATCGTAAATGATAAGATGTTGAAGTGAGACATTTTTCACACACACTTTCTTTTATTAAATCACTGTATACACTTGGCACTTCCTGACTTCTTATACTGAAAACAAAATTGAATATTGCATATTATAAAAGATGGGTTGCCAGACAACACATCATGCTGACATCAGCTGAAATGAAATGTTCTGCTCCTATACTGGGCTAATGAAGATGGGCATACACCATACAGTGTGCTATGAGGGAAATTTTGCCCGGGCAGCGGCACTATCGCCTACTCTTATATCGAATTCCAACTGCCAAGGGATCTTTTATGTGCATTCTAATGTATACATGGGACCTTTGTTTTTCGTCTCATCCGAAAGACTAGACATCTGTCCTTGTCAGGCCCTCCATTCTGCACCACTGACAAGGGGAAACCACGTCGGAAAACTGATATCAGCTACTGAGTCCAATAAATGTAACTTCAACCTCTTGAGTATCAACAAGACTTTTCAAAATGGTCATGGCCAATAACTCTAAGGTTTCATCAGATATCAATAGGCTTTTTTGTCTATGAAAATAAACAATTTGCAGGTTAAAGGGATGATAACTTTAGAATTCAAGATGCTGAAATCCAAACTAACAATTAAAATCGGTATCATTAATATTATATCCCTTTAAACCTACATGTACTACAATTACTTACATTATTTCACTGAAAGCTCTTCTAGGTCCCGAATGTAGAGGAAATGATTTTGGTGATGGTGAATTTTCTATATCAAAACAAGGACAATCCTGTAAATAAAGATATGTTGCCACACAATAAAACATACACCAACATCACCCAATTTGTTTGAACAGTCTAAAAAAGGTTGTCACATTGTGAACCATTACATGTAGATTGGCTACTGTAAATAAAAGGTAAAATATTTATACTGTATAAATTACTGCCACATTGACAAGAATTTACAATGTGAAAAAGAGCAATAACTACACAAGTAAATAATGGAAATTTATCAAATTTACTAGGCTGAACAAGCATAAATAATTCAAGTGGTTCGCATAATACTTTTGTTGATACTGATAGATTTCATAAAAATTTTAACAGTGACCAAGGGACATAACTATAGAAATAAATTGATAAAATTCCATGGCTACTTTGTTTCACTAATTTTATCAATGCCTATGAATTTCAAGCAGATGGGACCATAATTTTTTTTTGTCAGAGCATTCATAAGATTCTTCCGAAATGAAATGTTTAACATCCTGCACCTGCACCGTTCTGGGGTTCTGGACAAATGAAGACGGGCAAGATTCTTTAAAGCTATCACACTTAACCCGTTAACTGCGTAGGGCGTTATATAACGTCCTGGACAACTGACACTCACCGTGTGTAGGACGTAATATAACGTCCTGGAGGTATTTTCCCCAACCTATTCTTCGAACACGATCGCAGCATGTGTAAGACGTTATATTACGCTTGGTCGAGAAGATCTAATTGAAGGGAGACAACTCTATTTACCGTTAGTTTTAATTTGGTTTCAGACTACCAAATTTTGTATTCAGGAATGAAAAGGTCCAAAATGACGTTTTTCGTCAAATTAATTACGCAATAGGGGTAGTTAACGTTTTAAAAACTACGCAGTTAAGGGGTTAAAGGACAAAATTGGTGTCACCATTATTACATATGTGACAGAACTGGTTAAACACATTCCAAATATAATTTTAACACAGAGATCATTGCTAGGGTAGGATATCTGACAATTCAAAAGAAGAATTGGCTGTCACTGTACCTACATGTAGTGACAGTCAATTTTTTTTTATGACTTGTCAGACATTCCTCTCATCATAGTCTCATATATCAACTTTTTCATCTTCAACGGAATTAGACTGTGTGTCTGTTATCGCCTGTTACTTCAGTCAGTTATATAGAAGGATAACTTGTGTTTGTCATTTTTTGCATCACTTCCTGTTTCTTCAAATGTTTGTTACGCATCTACCATAGCAATAATCTCTGTGTTAAAATTATATCTGGAGTGTGTTCAACCAGTTCTATCACATATACATGTATGTATTAATAGCTGATATGATGAATTTGAAGTGGGGTTTAACGTCCTACTGTTCTGCTCCAACTGGAGTAATGAAGACAGGCATATGTCATACAGTGTGCTATGAGGGAAATTTTGCACTATGGCCTACTCTAATATCAAAATCCAACTGCCAAGGGATCTTTTACATGCACGCCAATGTATACATTAATGGCTGACACCAATATCGTCCTTTAAATAAACCTAATTAAAATCCAACTGAAATTTCTGTAAACAAAGCTCTGTATCTTAATGTTACCCACCTGACTTGAGACAGTGTTAGATTTTTCAGTTTTTCTTCTGTTTATATTAACTGCTGGACCTGAATTATATATACAATGTCTTATACTTATCATAAAATAGAACAAGAAATGCAATCTCCATGACAAGCAGGGAACAAAATAACTGTCGATAATTGGTTAGCAGTGTGATACAGTTTTATATTCCATATTAGCCTATAAATTACAGTGCATGAAAGTTTGGTGGTTGTTATTTTGGAAAATATTTTTATTTTCTTTTAATTCATATTTCATACATACATGTAACTTGCAAGTTACTGAATTGTATTGAGGGTGGTATTTTCGACAAATCATTTACGATCAGTTATGGGTGCTAAACAAATTCCAACTGTCGACGACATATTCCATAATGTCACATGGTCTGAATTACCCCTACGGCAGCGAAGACCTTGTGTAGTTTTGTCCACCTCCACCATGAGTTTAAAATCACGAGTAATTAATTAAAAATGCTTGTAAATAAAGCTTTATTCATTCATCCTGTTCTGAACATTCACAATAGTATTTAAATAATTATATTTTATCCTGCCGAAATTGCTGTGTATAGGAGACGGAAGGAAGCGTGTGCCGCAAGCTTCAAACTAATTACGCAAAATACGTCAAATTTCGAGCATTGTTTTTATCATTGGAAAAGGTTTTCTTATTGCCAATGGAATTTTGAGGCATGTAATAGCTGAAGTTAAGGTACTACATGTACGTATATCTGATAAAGATAGGTTGCCAGACAACGAAACATACGCCCACAGCAGCTAAATCGTCCGAGCGGTCGATAAGAGTTGTCGCATATTTATTCCTTTGTAGGTAATTGGGGGCCTTTACAAGACAGTTCCATACACATCAGATTATGATTTTTGTCATTTGAGGGTCCACAAGGTTTTACAAACTGAAACAATGGCCTCAACTTTGGAAGTAGTTTACAGAAATTGTTGAAATTTGACAGGCTTTTTCGTTTTACTAATTTAAATAATGCAAATAAATTTCATACAGATCGGATGATCACTTTTGTCATTCAAACATTCACCTGGTTCACAAAGTAAAACAAGGGCCATTAACTCTAGAAATAATTGACGGAAATTGCTGAAATTCAATAGACCTTTGTTTCACAAATTATAAATTTCATACATATTGGATGATAACTTTCATCAATCGAGCATTAACAAAGTTGAACAAAGTGAAACAAGGGCCATAACTCTAGAAGTAATTATTGTAAATTGTTGAAATTCAATAGGCTTCGTGGTTTCACTATTTTAAATAATGCATGTAAATTTCAGGAAAGATCGAATGATCACTTTTGACGTTATCACAAGGTTCAATAAAGTGAAACAAGGGCCATAACTCTAGACGTAATAAACAGAAATTGCTGAAATTCAATAGGCTTCTTCGTTTCACAAAATTAAATAATTCATATTAATTTCACAAAGATCGGATGATAACATTTGGCGTTAGAGCGTTCACAAGGTTCAATAAAGTAAAACAAGGGCCATAACTCTAGACGTAATAAACGGAAATTGCTGAAATTCAATAGGCTTCTTTGTTTCACTAATTTAAATAATGCATATAAATTTCACAAAGATCGGATGATAACATTTGGGGTTTAGGGTGTTCACATGGTTCAATAAAGTGAAACAAGGGCCATAACTCTAGACGTAATAAACGGAAATTGCTGAAATTTAATAGGCTTCTTCGTTTCACTAATTTAAATAATGCATATAAATTTCACAAAGATCCGATGATAACATGGCGTTAGAGAGTTCACAAGGTTGAATAAATCGAAACAAGGGCCATAACTCTAGACGTAATAAACGGAAATTAAATAGGATTCTTCATCTCACCAATGTGAACAACATATATCAATTTTAAAACAATCCGATCATAACTTTTGGCGTTAAGAGCATTCACAAGAAATTGTGGACGACGGACGGACGGGGGCGACAGCAATATATGTCCACATTTTAATGTGGGCGTATAAAAATGATTCGCAACTTTATAGATTCCCAAGTAAAGTTTCGCGAATCAATTTTTCCATTGATTCGCAGTAAAATTGGAAATGGATCGTAAACTGCGATGCGAACCCGTTTATTTGGTTCCCTGATGACAAGCATAACATGTAAAGAGTACATGTACAGTCGAGTGAAAATGTGATGTGGACGTATAAAAAATAATCTAATGCTTTAAGTGTGTACGGTATATATAATTACCTTGAATGAATTCTCCAAGACATGCTTTATACTCTTCTTCCGATATTCTCACACCTAGTCTGATATCTTTAACAAGAAAATACTTTTTCATATTGTCTGTTATTAAACTAGACTGTAGAACAGACAGAAGTTTACCGGATTTAAACATAGTCCACAAATCATTTAAAGCCTCAACAGAAGAAATTAAAATTGTAAATTTCACACTTCCACGAAATACACCATTTAAATCGCCATGGCGACACAATATTTTTAATGTATTCATTATTTCCATGGAATCTTTAATAACAGCATTAGTTTGTGCAAGTTCTTTACGGAATTGTTCAAATGCTGCAGCTGACTGATCACGACGTCTGATAGTTTTGTAAGCATTTTTTGAGAGAAGTAATATTTGTTCTTCTACTTCTTGACATGAACATGTAGGTTGTTTTGAATTCACTTGTGCCACATCTTCAACATCAACACTGATATTCATTTCTTCTGAAAAATTCAACACATTTCATTTGTTATTGTTTCTGGACTATCATTTTCCGGCGTGGTTCTCCCTTGTCAGTGATGCAGGACGGAGGGCCTGACAAGGAAAGCTGTCTAGTCGTTCGGATGGGACAAAAAACCGAGGTCCCGTGTACACATTGGCGTGCACGTAAAAGATCCCTTGGCAGTTGGAATTCGATATAAGAGTAGGCCGTAGTGCCGCTGTCCGGGCAAAATTTCCCTCATAGCACACTGTATGGCGTATGCCCGTCTTCATTAGCCCAGGTTAGGAGCAGAACAGTAGGACGTTAAACCCCATTTCATTTCATTTCATTTCATTTTTCTGGACTATCTGTAGACTAGATGGCATTGATGTTCAAATCTACATATAGACAAGTATTAAGTAACTGCTAATAGCTTACATACAGGTAAGCTTATAATATTCTATATGTATGTAATCAAAATCAAATACTAGAATTAGGATTATTGTGTTTCCAAAATCCTGTCAACCAATCAATTAAATATGCATGGATGACTATGATGTTTGAAAACAAATGATGAGTCATTGTGACAATGAAGGTACATGTACATGTATATTACACAATTTAGTCACGAAATGACCTAGTTTGTGTCGAGTGGACGTTAAACCCCATTTCTCTCTCATTTCTATATTACACCATTATTATTCATTGATGCAAAGTCTTCAGTAATACACCAAATACATGTATGTGTATGAATCCCAAATTCAAATAAATGTACATCTAACATGCATCAATTAGACGCTAAAACAATATATATTTACTTTGTTGTCTTTTTCGTTTCTTTTTCTTTTTAGGTGGAGGGTCCAGAAGATTGGCTAAATATTCTTGTAACGTTTTACGTAAAGCTTTAGTAAAAACATAAAATGCCCTATCTGACTTTAATACTAGATTATTGACCAATTCTTCATTGATTGATTCCCTGGTAGATGATTTTTTCTTAATACGGCCAACATCAGCTGTAGTTAATATTTTACAAGCTATAAGATCATTAAATATGTCATCTGGGATCATATTTTCTACTAAAACATCTCGATTCTTCTGTATCTTCTGTTTGTGGTGTGCCGACATTACCTCTTCTGCTATTTATAAACAAATTAAAACAAAACAAATTAAAATTTAAATACCGGTATATTTATCGTTTAACTTTTATTTAAAATGAATGAATGAAATGGGTTTATTGTCCTACTTTTCTGCACCAACCGGGTTGATGAAGTAGGCTGCGGACAGCATTTGAATTCCAACTTTCAAGGGTTCTTTTATGTGTACATGGGATCTTAGTTTTTTGTACCATCCGTCCGTCGACTTGATGCTATCCCTTGCCACAACTTGCCTTACCCCTCTATCCTGCACCACAGACAAGGGAAATCATGCTGGAAAAACCCGGAGAACTTTCTCGGCCAACACAGCCACAGGGATCAAACCCCTGGACCAACTGTGGCTCCTATTATTATTATCTTTCAAAAATGTCCAAACAAAGTTATTGTTAAATTAGCCCAACTAAAATCTTGTTGTGTGAGGGCAATGTAATGCTAGACACTATGCAAAACAAGACAATGAAATTAAAGATACCTAATCTAGTATCAGATCAGCCTATTTTATAACAAATAAAGAGCTATTTAAATATAAAAGACTTTGTATTGTGCATAGTAAATTCATTTCTGTATTGTATGATGCATTCAAGGCAATTTGATTACATGTACTTTACTTTGAGGCATATCTTAAGATTACAATATGACATAGCCTATACACTCGCTGTACAGGGGGTGTATATTTCAGTAATTATATATGCTATAGTTTAAGGGCTGTTACACCTGACTGACCTCAAATAAACTGTGTGACCTCAAGTTGCCATAGTACCGTTATATTTATATCATAGGTATGTTGAAATAGATTACTAAGCATACAGGTATTATCCCTATAGAAGTCCCATTGTGATCAGAAAACTTAACTATTTTTTTTTTTTTTTTTTTAATTGATAAAAATAATGTAGATTCATTGACATTGATTTAATTGTGTTTTTTTTAACTTTTTTTAATTCATAAAAATATATCAATGATTGATTTGATTGTTTTAATATAACCAATTTCCAGTGATATTTGATTATGGTAATATTATAATAATAACTAACATAGACCAGACCCAATGTTAATTCAATTAATATAATACAAGTTACCTTTTTCTTCTTCTGAGCTTTTGTCAGATTCATTGTTACTGTCACTCTCATCTTCGTCTGATTGAAGAGATTTATCTAATTTGTTTTTTAACATGGTTACTGCATCAGATAAATTGGAAAAATTCATATTAGGACTGGCATCCTTCCTTGATTTCCTACCACTCCCATGATTGCTGGATCCTGGTGATGATACTTTTCCTGGAGATTTTAATGCAGAAACAGTTTCTTTTAAACTTTTTAATTTTTGTTCCAATAATTCTTTTTCTCGATTTTTCCTTTCAATATCAGCTTTTTCTTTCTCTAGCTTTTTTATGTGTTTTTGCAGAATTTCATTGTCTGTGCCAGTTGTTGAATCAAAACTCTGATCTCTGTCCGAATCATTATCTGCCATAATACATTGCACCTCAAAAAAATTTGATAGCTGAGGATAGTAGCTTCTCAAGTTAGCCACTAAAAAAAATAATTTGTAAAAAAATTATAAATTGACTGCATACAGTGTTTAAGTTTAGTGTATGAATGATGACAATTAAATAACTCTTTTAAACCGTTGCTGTACAGTTATCTGACTCTCGTCCAATTATTATTAACAAATCATAAGTTTGAGGATGCTGGTTCAAAAATAAATAGATGACACTCATCAATTAAGCTTACGTGAACATTTATTCTTCTATAAAAAAAACAATGCATGGAGCAATCAAATTGTTTATCACTCCAGATAACATAAAATACTTGTATCAAACTCAGTCTAGAGGTGAAAGGTATTTTTATTTAATGAAACACCGTGTACACACCAAGTTTTATGACTCAAGATTACGGAACTCAATTAGAATCCTGATGAGTTATTGTGACATGTGCCGAAGCAATGACCATCAAATGACTTCCAACATATGGCATGGGTAAGTTTATACGGTACGAAAACACTACAAGTAGGCAATTCAAACAGTCACCTGCTCAAATGAAAAACAATCATATTTGCAGTGGTGTCTTTATTACATACATGGCACTAACATTTGGCAGACATTTCGATAGAAAACACGAAGACTGAGCAAAATCACCCAACAGTACACTAATTTATTATGTCAGTTGGGTAAGCCTACATACATGTAGTATTAGTAAGGTATGTTTAATTAGACAGCATTTATTTTTAAAGCCATTACATTTTAAACTTATTTAATAAAAAAAAAAGTTTTCAGGGCAAATTCAAACGTGTCAGATTATATAGTCACATTCTTATTAGTGTATGTGCTCAAATTAAAGGAGCTGAATCGCTAAAATTTGGGACCTAGAAATTGACACAAATAGGGCGTAACATTAATGTAATTAGGAATGTATATAAACTGATTACATTCAATCGTTTCCGTTTTCACTCTAACTTCAAATCAGTTATGTTCGGCAAAATACGCCAGAAGTCTCAATTGAATGGCAAGCTCTAGCGTCCGGTTATTCCAGTCTACACCGATAGTATTTATTGCGCATGCTCTCCAGATAAAAATATGCCATCAATGTGGATATCTAGCCTCGTTCTTCGAGTCCCCTGTTACAAATGACACTGAAACGTGTACCAATGGTAAAATGTTTATTTTGTCTTAAATATTGGATATCAGAAGCCCATCTGTTGATTTAAATTGACAAATAATTTGTGTTTTCAATGTTGAAGACTTTAGATGATATTGAGTTAGGGACTTAGGTACTTTAACATAATTCAATTGATATTTATACTTTTTGTATCTAGAGAAGTATTAAGACTGAAAAGTCTGAGCCACTGACAAGTAGTTGGTTTTTAAATGAAATAATGAAAAGATAAGACCACACACAGTAGGCCTATAATTGGCATTGCGTCAATAAATAAATAAATTTAACTTTGAAGAGCGTTTTAAATTTATTATAATTAAACATTTGCCTTGCCCATATTACGCCAAAAGACTGCATTAATTTTAATTGCTAAAATGAACCTGGTAATGAAAACACTCACCTTCTCTAATGAACTCATGGTTGTCCATATCTCTCAAATATTTCTACATGTGAATGTTATAGTAGCCCATTATAGTAATAATAGTATAATAGTAATTAGTACCCTAGGCCTAATTCTAGTGATTTGCCACCGGTTGAGAAATAGCAACAAGGGAAACCCGTTAACATTTATGAACCACCGAAGTCGAAGAGGTATTATCGTATTCAACAAATATTCGACTCCGTGGGTGTGAGATACACTTTCCCAGGCGATCAAGAATAAATATTCACACACTTGGATGAACTACCAAGGCTGAACACCCAAATACCAACATGAAAGGGGCCGGATTATGCAAAATAGGGCACGTGATCAAAGCCAGTTCGTCCGATTGTCATGTTGGTTTTTTTTCTTTGACATTAGTCAGCTTTGGTAATAGCACAGAGTGAATCGTGGAAAAATCTGATATTATTCAAATTCTAACTCACCCTTACATTTCTGATAATATGCCCCTTTCACACATACGAGCAAAACAACAGCTGAAGTTTAATTCTGAACCATAAGCTGGGAGACACTTCAAATGAACCGCCACTGTCCTTTTCAATATGGCCGTGCTTCAATTCGTCACAGCAGTATACTTTGGAGTTATTTCGTCCAAATACAAGTATTTCGCTTATAATAAATGTATTATGTTTCTGTTTTAATTTACATAATGAGTCGTAGTGGTTGTAAAGATAATAAATAATACATTTTTTTCACAAGACTTTCTTCATTTACTATCCGGTTAATATATATTTGTGAATTACTTACCGAAACGTCTGTACCATCAAAGTGTCTACTTTCAGACTGGTCGAACAAACTGAAAAGATCCGTACCATAAGTTTTTAGCTATGATCCGTTCCAAAACCAATTGGCAACGGCTAAAGTAGACTTAAAACTGCATTTTGCGGTTTGTGACATTATTTGCCGAGCGGAATCTCTCGCCCGTATTCTAGAAATGGTTCCACTACTGATGTCTTCCGCCTTACTCCAGTTTAACAGTACGACATCGAAATGAAGTTAGCACACATATTCTTAGCGCCAATAAAAACCTAGATCCAATTATCACGAAAATAATTGTTACCTTTATATTAGAAAATAACATTTTAAGACATATTAATGCAAAGTATATAAGTAATAGACAAAAAAAAAACCAAACCCAAAACTATTATCGTAAACATATTAATGCAAAGTATATAAGTAATAGACAAAAAAACCAAAACAAACCCAAAATATTATCGTAAACATACTAAAATATCGCACACTAGGCTAACTCAGCACGCATAAAAGAGGTTTATTTCACAGAATCAAGGGATTAATAAACTAATAGACTGCAAAATTCGAGAATCCTCCTATCTATGTTGGCTTTTCGAGATATATTACCGTAAACATACTAAAATATTGTGGAATCGGGTTAGGGTAGGCTCACTGCGCACAAAATAACTTCTCAACTAGCTTTGGTGGCTCCAAAATCGTTATATCACCAAATCGACAGATGCATAAGGTATGAACATGCCAAATTTCAGTAACTTTCTATGTTGGCGTATCGAGTTATATCATGACAAAGTTCTTAGCACCCGGATTCGAGCCGAGGATCATGGGTTCAAAAAACAAACGGTACACCCAAACCAACTTTGGTGGCAAAATGTTTTTTATTTCACGGAATGAAGGGATAAATAAACTACTAGAATACAAAATTTCAGAAGCTTCCTATGCTGGCTTTTCGAGATATATTACCGTAAATGTACTAAAAATATGAGAAATCAGTTTAGGGTATGCTCACCGCGCACACAATAACTTTTAAACTAGCTTAGTATAGGCATCATGGAGCCACCAAAGGTAGTTTAGAAGTTATTGCGTGCGCGATGAGCCTTCACTAACCCGATTTCCCCATAGTTTTAGTATGTTTACGGTGATATATCTCGAAAAGTCAGCGTAGGAAGCTTCTGAAATTTTGTATTCTAGTAGTTTATTCATCCCTTGACTCTGTGAAACAAAAAACAGTTTGCCACCAACGCAGCCTCGAATCCGGGTGCTAGGAACTTTACGGTGGTATGACTCAATATGCCAACATAGAAAGTTAATGAAATTTGGCATGTTCATTTATGCATCTGTCGATTTGGTGAAATAAAGATCTTGGAGCCACCAAAGCTAAATTAGAAGTTATTGCGTGCGCAGTGAGCCTACCCTAACACGATTCTCCCATATTTTTAGTATGTTTACAATAATATATCTCGAAAATGAAATGAAATGAAATGTGATTTTATGACACGTCAGCTCCAACCGAGCTATATTTTGCGCCAAACATGTGGTGAATATTACGAGACAGGCTAAATTGTATCACAGAAAAAACATTATATGCATAAATAAAAACAATATCACAGTTAATAAAATTAAAAATAAAATACAACTTTTATGCATATAAATATTAAATACAAAAATTAAATGATAAATATATACAATTACAATTTATGATAAAATCCTGTCTCTTTTAAAAAGTCTAATGCTTTACCATATAAACCAGGTTGGGCAAACATGTGATGTAATGACTGACAACGGTAAAAATTCGATCTAATATTCTTGAAATGCTTGCACTCAATCAACATGTGCTTAACTGTCAAAGGAACATGACAGTGTTCAAATTCTGGTTGAGGCTCTCGCTTTAAAATGAAAGTATGGTTAAAAAAGTATGACCAATGCGAGAGCGACACAAAACAACTTCATCCCTCCTGTTGGTTCTATAGGAGCTTGGCCAGTTTCCTAAGAGAGGCTTAATGTGATGAAGTTTGTTTGTGTCTGCAAGATTCCAAGACCGTTGCCCGCAGTCATATATAAAAAAGTTAATGGACGATCTGAAATCGGTGAAAGGTAAAAGAAATTGTGATATGGGAAGATCCACATGCTTTTAACACATTAAAAAATTTTCTTGTAACCATGGCTGCTTCTGTAGGTATAAACATTCTCAAATATTCTGCAAAAATTGTATTAGTTTCTAAAAACTTTTATACATTGCATTTTTGCAGAATGTAGGCTAAAGTGTTAACTGGAATTAATTTTGCAAGATGAATTTGATTCCATAATTGCACATAGAACCATAGTCATCATTAACTTTAATAAGCCACAACCTGGAGTGGGCTACCCATATATACCCATGTGCTTTCCCTGCAATATGCACACCTCTTGTCAAGAATATAAATGAATCAAATGGGGTTTAACTTACTTCTCTGCGCCAACTGGTTACTAGACGTATGATGGGCCTAGTGTCGCAATTACACCCCACTCCTTCGATTTCCATCTGTGTCAAGCAAGGCCAAGTGATCTTTTATTCGTTTACAATGCCATTACTCGGCATATTTGTTTTGCATACCATCTTAATTACTAGACACTTGCTTGTAGGCCATCCATGCTGTACCACTGACAAAAGAAATGAAATGAAATGGAGAAGACACCCTAATGTCTAACTCATACTGGGCTAATGAAGATGGGGAGGGAAATTTTGGCTGGTCCGTGGCCTACTCTTAATTGGAATTCCACCTGTCAAGGGTTCTTTATATGCCAATGTGTACACAGGACCTCGGGTTTTTCATCCCATTCAAACGACTATAATATATATGTTGTCACTTGCCAGGATCTCCATCAATTAACACTAGCTTGTCTTTAAACTTATGCACAGTGTTTGAGGTCATGAGATAAAGAAGTCTATTGTTTTTCGATAATTTTCAATAATTACTGCTATATCCTGAGTAAGCTCTAGAGACTAAAGTTATCACCCAATTTATATACAGTTCATGAGACGGAGACGCCTACTGATTTTAAATGATTTCCAACAATTACTGCTAGAGTTATGGCCCTTGATCACTTGAAAAATCTTGTGCACTCTCTATAAACCAAAGTTATGATCCGATTCACATGTTTTTACACAGTGTGTTAGGTCATAATATGAAGAAGCCTATTCATTTTCAAAAATTTCTGAAAATTAGTCAGAGTTATAGCCCTTGATCACTCATGGACGCTCTAGAGACTAAAGGTATCACCCGATTGACTTTAAGCTTATAAACATTGTTTAATTTCATGATGAAGAAGACTTTGAAAAAAATTGTGGTTGCTCTTTAAATAAACTTGTGCTAGCTCAGGAGACCAATGTAATGATCCGATTGTCTCTCTCTCCTCTGTCTGTCCCTCCCTCTGACTGTATGTCTGTCTGTCTGTCCCTCATTCCCTCCCGATATCCCTTGTCTCTCCCTCCCTCATTCTCTCCCTCCCTCTGTTCGTCTCTGTCCCTCCATCCGTCTGTCCTTCCCTTTGTCTGTCCAACCCTCTATCAGTCCCTTCCTCCATCTTCATTAGCCCAGTATGAGTTAGACATTAGGGTGTCTTCTCCATTTCATTTCATTTCTTTTGTCAGTGGTACAGCATGGATGGCCTACAAGCAAGTGTCTAGTAATTAAGATGGTATGCAAAACAAATATGCCGAGTAATGGCATTGTAAACGAATAAAATATATTCCACGGATTTTGGCTTCTTTCCATATTCGCACACATCGGTCCGTAACCTCCTACATTATGGACCTTGGTTGTACCAAAAATTACAGTTTATACCGGATTTTAAAAACCGTTTAAATATATCACTGTTACACCCTGGGTTCGAATTTCGTGATAATCGGACCGAAGGCTGTGGTCCCTTTAACGATTTGTATCCGGTTTTGAAAAAAACTTAAATATCATCCGCAGTCTTCCGGCATTGAAAACACGAATCATTTGTCAATTTAAATGAACGTTGATGTTGTGATTTTACCGAGAAAAGATAGGCCTGTGCTTATGATATCCAAATTGTATAGAAGCATATAACTACCGTTCATAATCTCTACTTTTCGTCTCTTCAAAACACGAAAGTCGAAAAGTAGAAGTTACGACAAAATGTGAGGCGACAGCATGCTATACAGCCAAAATGAACTCAAAAATAGGAAATTAAGAACTAATACACTGCGATGATAGCTCCCCTCGTTTTTTCCTAATTTCTTATTTTCGACTTGCGCTTTGGCTTGTGTACCCTCTTGTCGACTTTCGTCTTAAATCATATTTTTGTCTTTATTGATTTCAGTAAAAAGGCGCCAACACGCATACAAAGCCATTATGCAACTCGAAAAGTAGAATTTAGCAAATAAACACAACGCGCTATAAGCGACATATCATTTTGGCTTGCTGTCGAACTGTCGACTTTCGCCTCGGAAGTTGTTGTAGTCTCAATTTACCAGGTCACATTAGGATACATACAATTCGCGTCAACAAAATAGTCTGTATGATAAAGTCTAGTATTGATGGCGATATTAGCGACCTATGATTTTGGCTTGCTGTCGTACTGTCGCCTTTTCGCCTCGGA